GCTGTCCCAGGGATGTGGGAAGCTGCAGACAGCCTGGGACACGTCCTCCTGTGCTGTCCCTTGTCCTCAGGGTGTYCTGCAGAGCTCCCTGTGGCCAGTGAAAGCCGGGGCTACCAGCCCAGCTCTCCTCAGAGCCACCAGAGCCCAGCTCGGTGTCAATTAGAGGAAAATCAATGAAGATACTGTTCAGGAGTCCTTTTCACCATTCAGCACGGATGATATCCTTCACTTTCTAGCACTGATTCATTTACTTTCAGCCTCTCCAGGGGCTCCTGACATATTGCTATCTCTGAAGAATCTGAAGCAAGAACTGCCTTTGTTTCCACTGCAACTTGTTGGAGGGGCTGGGACTCACACAGGATCAGGGGAGAGGCTGCAGCACAGACAGAGGGTTTCAACATTTCTTACCAAAACACCTTCCCAAGGTCACCCCAAATCTCTGTTGAATGGGCAGGATCAGGGGAAAATGAGTCCAAATGTGGGACTGTCCATGCTGAGCGTGGGGACAGTAAGGCACAGCAGGTGAAAGCCACATAAAATACTTGTCCTGTATCAAACCAGTGCCATTTCCTGCATTCCCAACCTTTTCTCTCTCTCCAGCACAGCCACAGACATCCCAAAACAGTGGGATCCAGAGCTCGGGCCGTCCTGCCTCCCAACCCCACTGCAGGCTGAAGAACCGCGCTGYGATACAAAACCCAGCCCCGCCAGCTCCTCCTGTTCCTGCTCTTCAAAGAGAGGGTAGGAAATAGCCCAGAGCAAGGACGGGGCTACAAAGACACCATYTATTATTGATGAGACACTTGAGTGAACTCGGGGCTCGCAGGCAGAGCGGCCTGGGGGAGCTTGGAGAGGGGAAAAATGGAATTGGAGGAACACGGAGAGCGATGCAGCTCACAGGGGTCGTGTCCATCAGAGACATCCCTGGCAGTGCAGAAAGCTCTCCTGGAGCTCACGRGAGCTTTGCTGTGTGCTTTGGGGGGCAGTTTGATGACCCGTGCTCCAAACACCAGGCTTTTAAASAGAGAGGGATCTTCCGAGCCGGGAAGGGTCTGCACTGCCCAGCACAGGCTCCCACACTCTGCCCGTGCCACCTGTGTCACCAGGGAGTTAGACACCGGTCCCCAGAAGGGCACAGATCCCCTCAGAGCCATGCTCAGTCCCCATGTGTGTCTGGACGGTCCCTGTGGCTGCCAGGGTGGGCCATGCCAGGCTTTTAGGGGTCCCTCGGGCACCGAATGCAGTGGAAGGGCGCTGTGGGCCCCTCAGGGGATGTCAGGGTGGGGAGGGGACTGGAGGAGCCCCGGGGCTGTTGGGGCTCTGCGGGCAGCACCGGGGTTTTGGGGGGCAAAGCCAGAGATTTGGGTGGGCTCGTTTTGGGCCGGGACCGAGCCGGGGCTCGCCGAGGGGCGCCGGGACCGAACGGAGGGGCGGGGGAGCCGTGCGGGGCCGTGCCGGGCCGGGCCGGGCCGGGCGGGCTCTCCCGGCTGCCATTTCACCGCCCCGTTCTCCATTTTCCTGCCGGCGCGGCGGAACCGGCCCGGCCCCGATGTAGCGGCGCGGCCGCCCCGCACCCTCACCCGCACCCGCCCAGCCGCGGGGCCGCCTCCGGCATGCGGAGCTGCAAGATGGTGCGGGTGGCCAGCGTGCTGGGGCTCGTCATGCTCAGCGTGGCGCTGCTCATCCTGTCCCTCATCAGCTACGTGTCGCTCAAGAAGGACAACATCTTCGGGGCGCCCCGCGCCGCCGGGCCCCGCATGTACATGTTCCACGCGGGCTTCAGGTGAGGCGGGCCCGCCATGGCGGCCCGGGCCCCGCGGACGGGAACGGAGCGGGGCTGTGGGGGTGGTGATGGGGGATCGGCACGGCCCGGGCAGCGG